ATATTGAATCCCATACCTGTGTGTACCCTTCACATATCTCAATATCCTCTTGGCTGCAATTAAATGAGAAGTGGTTGGTTTCACCATGTACCTGTTGATCAGCCCTACACCATATGTGATATCAGGTCTTGTGTGGCACAAGTATCTTAGGGAACCAACAAGGTGTTTGAACAGAGTAGGATTTACTTCTTCTTCATCATTCTCCAAGGATAGCTTTGTCCCTATATCAACATGAGTTGGAGCTGGCTTGCAGTTCACCATGTTAAACCTTTTTAATACATCTTGAGCATATTTCCTTTGATGAATAATCACTCCTTGGTCATTCCTTTCAAACTCAATTCCTAGGAAGTATGTGAGTCTGCCTAAATCAGATATCTCAAATACCTTCATCATATTTTCCTTTAAAACCTTCATCTCGGCTTCATTGTTTCTATTCACTATCATGTCATCCATATATAGACATACAATGAGATTATATGTGGTATTTCTACTGTAAATTCCATGTTCATTTATACACTTCACGAAACCTTGTTGAACAAGAAAACTGTCTATTCTCTTGTTCCAAGCCCTTAGGGCTTGCTTCATCCCATACAGGGCTTTGTTCAGCTTATAAACATGTTCTTCCTTTCCTTCTATCTTAAATCATGGTGGCTGATTCACATATACTTCTTCTTCTAGCTCACCATTCAGAAAAGTTGATTTTACATCTAGCTGGTACATAGACCATTTATTCTGAATTGCTATTGCCACAATCAGTCTTATTGTTTCCATTCTTGCTACTGGAGCATAGACTTCATAGTAATCATGTCCATGCCTTTGTAGAAATCCTTTTTCTACTAGTCTAGCCTTGTACTTTGCCACCTGCCCATCTGGCCTCAGTTTTGTCTTAAAAACCCATTTGACATCAATACACCTCTTGTTAGCATGTAATTTAACTAATTTCCATGTCTCATTCTTCTCTATAGAGCTCAGTTCTTCAATCATGGCTATCTTCCAATGTTTTTGTTTTAAAGCTTCTTCAAAAGACACTGGTTCAGTTTTAGCCAGCATTGCTAATTGCACTATATCACCCTCATCTGTGACTGCTTGATCAGGGAATCTCTCGTAGTCCCTCAGCCTGGCTGGTGGTTGAGTATTCCTTGTTGGTCTATTGATTCCTTCTGCACCTTCTTCATTTGTATCTTCATCAACTTCTTCTTATTCCTCAATCTCACCTTCTTCTGTCTCTGAGTCAGATAGATGTAGGTGATTGTTACATTTATATGATACCTTTTCTTTCCAATCCCATTCCTTTGATTCATCAAATCTTACATCTTTGCTAAATACTATCTTCTTATTATTTGGATTATACAGTTTGTATGCACCAATTTTATGATAGTCAACCATAAACATTACTTGGGATTTATCATCTAACTTCCTCCTTAGTTGATCAGACACATGTCTGAAACATAATGAACCAAAGATCCTTAAATGTTGAACACTTGGTTTGACTCCACTCCATGATTCCTCTGGTGTCTTGTCCTGTAACTTCTTTGTAGGACTTCTGTTTATGAGATATGTTGCAGTAGCAGCTGCTTCACCCCACATGAAATGAGGCATTTTCTTTTGCTTCAACATACTCCTTATCATATTTACTAAGGTTCTGTTTTTCCTTTCTGATATCCCATTGTGTTGAGGTGTATAAGGTGCAGTGACTTCATGACTAATGCCATTTGATGAGCAAAACTCATGAAATTCAGTAGAGTTGTATTCACCTCCTCCATCAGTTCTTAGTCTACTAATTACTTCCCTACTTTCATTTTGAACTAGCAATATGAACTTCTTAAACACATTTAAAACTTCACTTTTCTTAGCTAACAAGTAAATCCACAGTTTCCTAGTGAATTCATCTATGAATGTTACAAAGTAGTTGTTTCCACCTACAGACCTTACTTCAAAAGGTCCACATACATCTGAGTGAATTACCTCTAGTTTCATGGTTGTCTTGAATGATACCTCTGCTTTGTATGAGCTTCTAGCTTGCTTTCCAGTACATCATATTTCACATACTTCTTCTGGCACTTTTAGTTTTGGTAGGCCTTGCACCATCTTCTTTTCATGCAGCATATCCAAATTTCTAAAGTTGATGTGCCCATATCTTTGATGCCATAACCAGTCCTCATGCTTAGTCTCAGTCAACAGGCACTGATCTTCAATCACATTCATATTAATCCTGAAGGTTCTTTGCTTTGACAGTGGAGTTTTAATGATCAGCCTGTTCTTGTGATCAAAGATATTCATAGCTTTTGCCTCCATTCTCATGGTATATCCCTTCTATAGTAACTGGCCAATACTAATTATATTGCTCTTCATGTTTGGCACATATAGCACATCAGTAATACATGCCTTCTTGTCATCCTTCCTATTGATTAAGATTTTCCCAATCCCAGCTGCACATATTATGCTATTGTCTGCAAATCTAATACTTCTGTTTACTGATTCATCTACTTTAGAAAACCAAGACTTCTTGCCTGTCATGTGATTGGAGCACCCTGTATCTAGATATCATTCATCACTTCTTTCCTCTTCATCCTTGACTGTTACCATCAGCAACACTTCATCTGAGTCTGAGCCTTCATTCTGAGCAAACTGAGCATCATCTTTGCTCCTTGGTACTCTCTTTGATCTGCATTTAGATGCATAATGGCCCCATTTTTGGCAATTATAACACTGAATCTCCTTCTTGGACTTTCCTTTTTTCACATGCTGAGCCTGCAATGCTTGATCCAAAGATGCAATTTTTCCTCTTTCTTTGATCCTATCTATTAACCTCAGTTCATGTGCCTCTAGGCTTGCCTGGAATTCTTCTATCTTCATGGAGTCTAGATCCTTTGACTCCTCTAATGCAACCACAATGTGATCAAACCTTGGTGTTAAAGTTCTGAGAACCTTTTCTACCTTCATCACATCAATGAAGTTTTCACCATTCCTTGTCATTTGGTTTGTGAGAGTAATTACTTTGTTCAGGTATTGGCTGATGGTTTCTTCTTCTTCCATTCTCAACACTTCATACTGCCTTCTCAATGCTTGAAGTCTCAGCTTCTTTAGCTTCCCATCACCAGCATACAATTTGTCCATCGCATCCCATGTTTCTTTTGCACTTTCATAGTGCATGATCTTCTCAAAGATCTCATTGCTCACACTTTGATGTATCAAGAACATGACTTTTCCATCCTTCTTCTTCAGTTCTTTGTGCACAGTTTGTTGTTCTTCTGTTGCATTGGCTGTTAAGATTGGTACTCCTTCATTCACCACTTCAAGAACTTCTTGAAACCTGAAAATTACCTTCATCTTCACAATCCATTGGTCGAAATTTTTACCTTTAAATACTGGTAACTGTGTAGAGATATTGTTGCCATGATTTCCCATTCTTCGAGCGTCTTCTTGCAGCAATTATGAAACCGGGCTCTGTTATACCAATTTGATAGAACAATCATACAATGGTGCCACAAGAAATGAGTTGAGATTAGTGATGACAATTGTGATTAGAGTTGAAACAAAGTGCTGAAATGATGAATATTGACTGATGTATTATTTTCAGCATTGCATTACATTGAACACCACATGACATTGGTTTTTTATTCAATGACATTGGTTTTTATAACAACCTAACCAACTAACTAACAGAATTAACTAACTGTAACTAACTGAATTACAAAGCTAATAATAATAATTTTATTCTTAAAACAAATGATACAACACGGGCCAATCTACAGAACCAAGCAAAACACACAAACAAATTCAACAAAAAAAAACAAGCAACAACCAAGCAAATCAAATTATATTTCTCCTACAAAGTCTAGCTAGTTTTTGGTTGGTCTCCACACGCCAAATCACATTTTGAATGACTTTCGTGCATCGAAACTCCCTAGTATCTCGATTATGAAACACAGCTTGATTTTGAATCAACCAAATCGAGTAAGCCGTTTCAGCTAAGGCACTTTTCAACAATTTAGCTCAGCTGCCCTTGCCTTTTGACATGAGACTACCAACCAAGGATAGATTGAACAAATTTGAAATTGTTACAGATGAAAAATGCATTGTATTATGATATTCAAGAAACATGTAACCATCTGTTTTTTGAATGTGCTGAAACTAAAAGAGTCTAGCACCAAGTCCTAGCTTGGTTCGGTCAGTTATGAAATGTTTCTAGTTGATTCTAACTAAATTAGCTTTTTATACATAATTGAAATGTTTCTAGTTGATTCTAACTAAATTAGCTTTTCATACATATTTGAAATGTTTCTAGTTGATTCTAACTGATTAAAAAATTGCGCTTGTTCTAAATCGGATTCAGTAATAGCCCACAAAGTAGATTGAGAAAACTAAACCAGACTGTTTTTCTATACATAATTGAAATGCTTCTTGCAAGTTCTAACTGATTGAAAAGTAATGCATCTTGTTTTCAAATAGAATTGAGTAATCCAAACACCAATCACAAAGTAGATTGAGAAAACTAAATCAAACAACAAAGTAGATTGAGAAAACTAAATCAAACAACAAAGTAGATTGAGAAAACTAAATGGTAGTGGTGTTTTATGTATAATTGAAATGCTTTTTAGTTCTAGCTGATTAAAAAGTTATGCATTTTGTTCCGAATCGGATTGATTAATACAAACTCAAATGGCCAAAACTCAATTTATTCCTTATGCACCAAACTTAATGATCTGAGACAGAGATTAGTTGTGTTTAGTCTTACATAAGCTGCGATAGAGATTATATAAGCATACATTTTGATCGGTTAGTCCTATGAAACACAATCATATAAATTCAACACTTAATTAGATGCGCCCTGAATTTTATAAAAATAAGTCGAATAGTTCCAACAAAACTTTATCATTATAGAAACTCAACACCAAATACAATTTTGGATAAACAAGCCCTTATCTAACTTTATTTCTTGATACAACTGTTACTGTCAGCATGTTTTCCTGATTTTTGTTTTTCTTTACTGTCTCCTTCTATAACAACTGACTGGGAATTTGTTCTACTTTTTCCGCTTCCTCACCACCACCATTGCAATTTCCCCCATCTAACAACGGAGGAGTCAGAGGTTGTTCTGCTTTCTTGACTTCATGAACATCTTTGTGTTTCAAAAAGCTTGGCTGGTTTGTTGAAGAAAGCAGTCTTGCCCACATTCTATCTGTAATCACTACGTTGTTCATCCTCTCGGTGATTCTCTGTGTATCAAAATTTGGAAATGTTCTCTAGTGTCAGAAAAATTATGATCTTGGGATGATATGAAACTATCAATAGAAAATTGGATGCAAATAGGCATTCAGAAGCAATTGTTCTTGTGTACATATGCATATCTAATACATTTATTCACATACATCATTAACAACCACTTGATATAAAGCTATATTAGAAAGTTACAGCATAAAAAAAGAGCATCGGATTATAAAACCGTGTAAGGATATGTAGTAACTTACGTTGAATGGAATATAAGTATGTCTACCGTTGACAAGTCCAGAAGTGAATCCAGTATACCCTGCCATTGCTCCATGAACTGCACTCTGAGCAAGAAGTGTGCAGTAGACACTGTCCGATGCATTGCTTGGAATTGCCCGGATCATGTAAGTTGGATCTGGAAGATAACCAAGTTAAGAAATCTAGCCGTATTTGTTAAAGATATGAATGGATCAAAATGGAAGAGGATACAGTTAACAAAACTGACCTATATATTTAAGAACGATGGCCATCTTATTCTCCTTCGCAAAATGATCCTATCACAGCAAGTCAAAGGTTTATTAAAAGGGAGAGTGAGTTGCACAAACTGACAGTTCTGGATAGATGGACTTTTACTTTTAACAGATTTGCAGTAAATAAATATTTAAAAAAAAAACTGGATAAACAATGCATCTATGATAACCTACAGGGAATCTATGTAATCCTGGCTCAAAAACTGATAATGGTATTAATTGACTGGACGAGCTTTTGAAATTGTACTTTTTTCTGTGCATTTTCCTAATCATATGTTCTAGTAATAGTATTGAGTGGTGTGTAGAATAGATAAAATTAGAAGAAAATATATTACAAAGAAAGATCTCTGACCACCGAGTTTTTTTTTTGAAAGTGCAATGTTTTTTTGCTCGGCCACTTAAATACCAACTATCTTGAGCAATTGAGTTCCAGTCTCATGAGGATTCAGATCAATTAAGCGCTAGTTAAGATAGACTTCTCAAGACATACTTATGGAAAAAAGTTTGCAACAATTGATTTTTTTTTAATTAAAAAAAAAATACAGCTTCTTGTATAAGTTGAAATTTAAAATTCCCCTATACATCTTAATTTTTTTCTTAAGTCTAGTTTAACTAACTCGTAATAAACACTCATAACTTTTGTGCAAGTAAAGAGCCTATTAAGAGTCCCACATTGAGCATATTCAGACCATATATTGTCCGATGTGAGCCATATACTTATTTTAATTGAGAGCTCTCATAAGCTAAAAACTAATTCGAATAGGGTCTAAATGAATCTTCTCATAGACAAGTAAATACCTTGATCTTATGAGATATCCATAAACCAACATCTTGAAGCAGCTTGTTTCCAGAAGCATCCTTCTGGTCCATGGCTTGCATGCTTTCTGCAAGAAGATCTTGTCCTGCTCCCTCGGCTATGACTATGACCATATGTCCACTTTCTTTCAGCCTTTTCTTTATAAATTCGTAAAGTCCCCCCTTTCCTTCAAGGAAGAAGGGTGACTCTGGAATCAAGCAACAGTCCACATCTCTGCTAGCAAGAGTAGCATACATCGCAATAAAACCTGCAGTCAAAGTATCCATTATGAAACAAAAACAAGATTGATTTAAGAGAATAGCCTTCAGTGAGATATTTTAGACATTTTATGTTTGGGTGGAGTGAGGAAATAGGGTTCAACTAAACAAAATTAGACTCTTACAATCTATAAGGAATCAGCATAAATGTGAAGTATGCATACCACTATAACGACCCATTAGCTTTACAACACCAATGCCATTTTCAACACTTTCAGCTTCAACATGTGCTGCATTAATGGCTCGTTGAGCCTCCTCAACCGCGGTATCAAAACCAAAGGACCTGTCAATAACCTATCAAAACCAAAGGACCTGTCAAAAACCTATCAAAACCAAAGGACCTGTAAATAATCTATCAAAACCAAAGGACCTGTCAAAAACCTATCAAAACCAAAGGACCTGTCAATAACCTATCAAAACCAAAGGACCTGTCAAAAACCTATCAAAACCAAAGGACCTGGCAACAACCTAATGAAATGGAAGAAAAACCACATGGAATTTCTACAAACGTAGATAATTGACTCTTCAGATGTAAGAGTAAATCAAATGACAAGGTCATGAAAAGAGATTAAGACATTAAGATTGAGCATACCGGGATGTCATTATCTATGGTTTTAGGAATTCCAGCAATTACTACTTTCAGACCCCGCTTTCTAACTTCCTGTATGATAACCAAAATATGTTCAAAATGCTTAGCTCCTATATTAATAAGATGCAAAAAATGATAACAAGTCAATCAGACAGTTATACAGAAAAAATTCATGTATAGTTCGTTTTAGTACAATCATGTGCTCCCAGCTGTTTCTTGACACTATCATAAAGCTTGAACTGACCACAAGAGCTAGTACCTTTTTGGAAATCAACATAGTGTAATATAATATTCCAATTATGTTCAAAAAAATCATTAAGAATATAAAAGAAAATGGAAGGTATTTGAAGTTTAAGATTAAGGTATTAACATTCTATATAATTTTCACTTGAAGACATGGGATCAACAATTTACTATCAAATTTCACTTTTAAGTATAAGCTAATATCATTTGCACTGTTTGGGAAGAAAAAAATGTAAGGGGAAAAAACTCGCAAACGCAAGAATGCAAAAAGTATGCATATGAAAAAATCCAGTTTCTATAAGACATTTGTTAACAACTTTAGCTCAAACTAGGAAAAGGAGAAGACATGAATGTGATGCCTGTGAGTAATTCATTTAATTTTTTTATCATTTGATACTATTTAATGATTGCTATCTTATGAAAGCAAATAAAAATGTTGCTTAACCGAGATACAGAATTCAAAATAAATTTGGAGAACTTGATTACTCGTATGCGAAGAAAACTCGTTTATTCAAACATAAACAAGAAGTTCAACAAATAAGCATATGTATACTATGCAGATGTGTGGATTTGTAATCAAGAAGACATGTATAAAAAAATATTTCTTCGTTGACTGAAATATGCTCTTATTTTCCTTACTGGATTCCAAAAGGATGAATATTCTATTAAGACAACCTCTGAATCACCATACCTCATAAATCACAGCCGCTCCTCGCTGTGTTCCATCTCCTCCAATAATATAAACCTGAAACGTTAACCCAAACAAGGAAAATCCATGTCATGACAATAACCTACTCGAGTTAAGTGCATTGATATAATAGACTGCAAATTTATGTTTCCAGCATTCAGTATCATTGGAAACTTCTGTAGAATAAATTTTACACAGTAAACCTGATTAATTCCCCGATCCTGGATGCTGTCAACTATCTTGCCAGTATCATGCCCCCCTCGGGATGTGCCAAGAACAGTTCCTCCCCGCTTATGGATGTCATTTACCACTTTGGGAGTTAAAGTAATGGTGTTCTTCGAATAAAAACCTCTATAACCACCCTGTGTAAAATTGGATATAGTTCAGGGGTGATGACAATGAATGAAGAAATGCAACTCAAGTAAGAAGATCAGTGCCGAAAAAAAAGTGAATTCAAGATAAGAGTGAGTTCACGAAAACCAAAAGTTTGTTTAGTTAAGGGCACATGTTAGAGTACTAAACATATAAACATGGCCTTGAAATTCCTCCATTCAATTCCTTAAAAATTATATAAAAAAATTAAAAATTAAAAATTAAAAATAAAAAAAAAATTAAAAAAAATTCAACATAATTTTATTTAGGTTCTTAACATGTGCTCGAAAGACCCAAACCTTTACCTATATGTATCTTTAAATATATGATAATCCAAGAAAGTGTGACTTCAATTATATTTATGTCAACTCCTTTCAGAAATGGAAAAGTATATGATTAAAGTTTCTGATCATGTATATAAATTGAAATCTTATTTGATCAATTACCCCAAGAATAATCCATACAATTTGGTTTACAAGAATGAAATAAGATATCCACACACAAAGAAGTCGGGAAAAAAAGAGATGTACTTCACATCAATATAAGTTTTCCCTCCCAGTGGACCTAGCCAATATCACAAATTTTATAATCCAGGGCAACAGATAATGTAATGACTATCAAGCATAACTTAAAAGAGAGTTTACCCACTCACATCTATGCCAAGGACTTTGTCGACACCGTACATGTAAGAAAGACCACAAACAATTTCCCTTATCACAGTGTTGAGACCAGGACACAGACCACCACATGTGACAATACACGCACGAACATCATCCGATCTAAAATATACCTAAACAGCACATTATAAAGAGTCAGTGATTTAAATCACAACTGAAATAACATGTGTCCAGACAACAAAATAAATAACCTTTTGTCTAGGTCCTGCACGTCGAAAATGAACACCTCTCGGACCATCCTTGTGGACAACAACCTATGTGGAAAGAACAAATAAAGTTTATACACCAATGTAACTCGTTAATACCAGAAAATTGGAGATAAGTACAATATTTTATTTTATTTTATCTACTTTCCTCTCTCTGGTTGCAGGAAAAACAAAACAGTAACAATAACAAATATTCAGTTAACTCTTTCTATTATTGAGAATTAATTAAGTATTAGTAAAAATAAACCTTCAACTTGTTTCCTAAACTATCACAATCTTTCCAATTCAGTCACTAAACTATATAAATTTATTAAGTAGTCTCTAAAGTACATGAAATCCGTCAACCACTTTACTTAGTATCCAAAATCATAATAGCAAGGACTTATTCACATATTGATCATAACAAATTCAAGTGGAAATTAGCCGGTGCTTGATAGATCAAGTAATGCAGAAGAATTCAAATTAAAATCGATCTGAAATAAATAGAAATATATTTAAAAAAACCTTCTGAGGAACGGTATCGTCCATATGCACGAAATACTGCCTGAAACCGCAAATAACATAGAATCAATTTTTCGAATAACTAACACATTTCATACTCAAATCACAATCACAACACTGTAAAAACAGATTCACTTACTTAACAACCGAGTAAGCTGGATTAGATCGAAGCGGATTCGGATACGTCTACAAAAATCAAACAAAATCAAGCATCATCAAGTATCATCAAGTAACAGTAAATGAATGCAAACGAAAATGTTACTTCAAAAAATCAGAGAAATCTAGAATAGTAAAAATACTTGAAGATTCGGAACGTAATCGGAGAGATGAGGAACGTCTTCGAGTACGTAACCGCCATCGCCATTAACGATCTTCATCTGCGAACTAGATTCGCTCGACGCCATTTTTCTGTTACTGTATTTTCTGTTTTTGGATTTTGGAGTGCGCGGCGAAGAAGAAAATAGAAAAAAGAAATAGAGTAGAATCAAGAATGAGTGAGAAAGAATGGGTATAGAAGAAACGTTGGCTTAATTTTGCGGCGATCTGGTTAATTTAAAAATATTATATATTGCTGACGTGGCGAAGATGGTGTGGACCGTTGGTTTGTGGAGATGGAGGGTTGGGATTAAAAGATGAAAGTGTTTGTTGAGTTGTGTGTGTTAGAAGAAAGGTAGTGGAATCTGTTGTGACTTGTTTTTACCAGAATCCAGCACGCGGTGGGAGAAGAAAACTAGTGGCGGGTTGTAACCGGGTACTGTTTTTAAGTGTTATGCTACCCCGGTTTTTAGAAATGTACTTTTAGTAAATTTTAAGTCGTATTTAATTATTGGCCAAAAACGAAAAGTTACCTTTAATTATAAATATATAAAAACATATGTCTAATAAAATTGTTATATATAACTAATTCACAATTAATGTTAGAAAAATAATTGACAAATTAAGATAAGTTTTTCTCCGTTGGATAACTGTTTTTTAGCTTTATCCATTTTTAAGACACGTCGAGAGTTTTGAGCAGTGAAATGTATGCAGATTCAAGACGTGACGTTTTCTTGTGAAAAGACCATTAGATAGCGATTATTTTCGAATTAGTACAAATAGAGTTTAGCAGTTAGGATTTGGAGGTATTCAAACTTGTACAAAAACTCTAAATTTACTCTAAGTACCTGTTCCTGAGAAACGAGTATTCTGGAGTGAGAATGTACATGTGAATACTATACTTTACACTTTTTACCAGATTATTTAAGATTCTTCTTGTAATTTACATTTGCTACAATTTACTTTAAAGCCAGTTTCGATATTTAAGATATTGTCATTTACTTTAAAGTCATTTACTTTGTAATATGTACTTTTGCATTTCTTTAAAAGAATTGTAACGCTTCATTAACAACTTTCAAGAACACTGTCAAAATGTTCATAATTAACAAACCCATAAACTAAATAACAACACATGTCCTATGATCAATCTAGTCGATCTTGTAAGTAACCAAAGATTTAATAATCACCAGAAGTCACTATCCACCCTTTACATACTCGACCTCATAATCTGTTGTCGTAGCATACACCAGACACAAGTCTCAAAATTACTCCATCAATTTAATTCTCTGGCTATCCAATTAGACATATAACATGGAGCTCTCAATATCAGACTAGTTTCCGTAATTAAGTCGATCACAACTCCGCTTCACGTCCTGGCTGTGTATCACTACTTTGTCAGGACAACTTCCAGACAACCACAACTAATAGGCAAACCGCCAACTTTCCACTTTCGTTAATACACAAAATTCCCAAGTACTTGGCCTTACCCCAAACAATTCACTGCTCACGCCATCTAAGCTTGCAAGACACGTCTATCCCATCCAACATAATCTCAACTACTACCAACAAGAGATTAAGGGTGATCAGTTCCTCAATTTGTCAATAGACAGTCGTCATCATGATAGGGTACAAACCATCTCTACTATAAGAGCGTTTAATCACACACTGAGCTACAACTTCACCCTTGCAGCATCCTGGGGAAGCACAACTTTCTCCCCTGCTTGGATCATTCACACTTCTGCAGACAAAGGTTAGACAACAAACACGTATCGACAGTGTTTTCACACACGTGTCGCATACAAGGGAAACAAACAACATTAGACAACTTGGCCGGATGGACCGACCTGCTCTGATACCACTTATGTAACACCCTTCTAAACCCCACGGAAAATATAAGCATAATCAGAGTAAAATTAACATGCATTCACAAAGGGCGTCACACATACACTTCCAAATTACTAAAAACCATCTTTCATGCTCATTAACACTGAAATAAATAATCATACTTTACAAAATTTCATTTGCATGTAGCAGCGGATTCATTTATATCACAATTTTTCATAAAAGAAATATTTGTGTTTATCACATAAATCAACATCACTTAGGCATTGAGGCCAACATCACAATATACATCTGAAACATAACCCAAACGATCCCAGTGTTACATGACCAGAGCATGACTCAACCCAATACAATTAAATCACTAAACAGCTACACCAATAGCGACCTCGCAACTACGAGCAGTACTACACCTTGATACATGCACGATGTCATGTAGGACATCATTCCAACAGAAGAGTGAGAAATATTATCATAATAACAATGCATATAATCATATATAAATGCACAAGTACATAATACATATATTCCACATTTTCTCACCACAATTCATTATAATCGTCATATATGTCACAATATATGTTTACCTAATTAAGCACATTCATCAATCATGCTTTTACAAGTCATGTCCTTTCCACATAAACATTTACAATGATATTTACTTCACCAATTCACATAAACATACGCCACATGTTTATTTCACCAATTCACATAAACACACACAACATATTTATTTCACCAATTCGCATAAACATACACAACATGTTTATTTCACCAATTCACATAAACACACACAACATGTTTATTTCACCAATTCGCGTAAACATACACAACATGTTTATTTCACCAATTCACATAAACACAGACAACATATTTATTTCACCAATTCGCATAAACATACACAACATGTTTATTTCACCAATTCACATAAACACACACAACATGTTTATTTCACCAATTCGCATAAACATACGCAACATGTTTATTTCACCAATTCACATATAAGGATGATAAATGCAACTCATACAGACCGACTCACGACTCTATGCAGATGCAAATGCGGTACTGACTCATTCAGCAGGTTCAATTGAAGAACCAAATGGAACCATCGCTCGTTACCAAAGTAACTCCCCGTCGGGCCTACGATGTTCACCCATCGCTCAAACCCCACATGGGCACACGATGTTTCAGGATTGCTCACACCCCACACGGGCACATAATCCGATTGCTCACACCCCACAAGGGCACACAATCATTCTGCAGATTCTCCATGGAATCAAATATGAACCATCGCTCACACCCCACAAGGGCACACGATCGTTTCTGCAGATCCTCCTAGGGATAAAAAATAAACTATCGCTCACACTCCACAAGGGCGCACGAGGTTTCTGCAGATCCTACGCGGGATCAAGGCACAAGAATGCAATCATGATGCTTCACATGAAAAATGACTCCATACACTCTTGAAATGCATACATATTCACAAATATATATATAATTACGCATTTCACCTCGTACAAGTACATACAATTATACACATAATTTCCAAACGGCCACATCTCACACTTTCATACAACAGTCACATATATACCATATGACTCATATAAACCCATCAACTCTCACAAATCCTCATTTGGGATTATGGGTACATCGCTTATACCCCACCAGGAACAACATCTCAGTTATTCTACCCCGGTGATTACTACACTAGGAACGACACCTTGTCATTCTACCCCAGTGAGTAAGAATCTCGCATGTTTACATATTCTCAACATCATTATCACATTACCAAGCAATGCACACACACACACACACACACACACACACACACACACACACACACACACACACACACACACACACACACACACACACACACACACACACACACACACACACACACACATATATATATATATATATATATATATATATATATATATATATATATATATATATATATATATATATATATATATATATATTCTCATGCATTCTTCACACACTATCACATAAAATCAATATGCACTCACAAGGTCGTGCCAACTGCAACGAACTCAATTACACTTATCATGCACTTTTAATTCAATTAAACAATGCATATATTGTCAAAAGACCATGTTTCATAATCGATTCATAATCTAGGATTCACGCCATAAGGCTACCCACAGCACATCACATTACAACATCACACAAACTATCCATTCAGATAAGGATTAAACATAATTAAACCAAACAATCGACAATTGGATGGAAAGCACAGAAAATAAAAGAAAATACTGTCACATTCACCGACATTCGCCTAGCGAAGCATTTGGCGAATGCTCGCCACCACACTCGCCTGGCGAACTCGCTGGCAAAGACAGACAGTAGCTACTGGAAGTGTTCGCTACTACTCGCTACCACACTCGCCAGGCGAAGCCTCTCGCCGCCTCCTTCGCCTGGAGAACTCACTGGAAAAGACAGAGTTGGGCTCCTGACTTGGTTCGCTATCCACTCGCTGGGATTCGCCTGGCGAACCTTCACTCTCATTCACCTAGCGAATGCTAGCGAATCTGCGAACTCAGAAATCCCTAACTATCAAAATCGCCCAATCCTTCCAAAATCAACCGATTCTCACCAAACCAGTTTCAACCGCCTTAGTCTAACATTCCTCGACTAAACTTTACCACTTATTCCAGATTCTAACCGTTAAAACTCGGTTTCTATCGATTAAATCCACTTTTACCCTAAAAATAGAAAAATGGAGAAAACATCCGAACAATCCATACAATCCATACACGATCATCTACATTGTTAAGATAATGATATTTCACACCCTTACCTTGATTAATCGTAAGCTAGAAGTCGATTTTTGATGATTCTGAGCTTTTCCCATTTTCCTCCTCTTTTCTCCTCTTTCTCTTTCTTTCTCTTCTCTTTCTCTTATGTATTCATTCTCTTTCTTTTCTCTCTACTTTTCCTTTATATCTCTTTCTATCATATTTCCTTCCATCATAATTCCTCTCAAATATCTACCAATTCATTTTCTCATAAGATATCTCATCATTAAATAGAGAATATTTGATAAATCCACATTATTCTACCAAGTAGAATAAATAAGTTAAATCCAATAATTCACTTAAATCAGATAAATCACACAAACCAATTAATTAGTACCATTAATCAGTTATTGAAAATTGGGTTGTTACACACTTTACCTTCGATAAGATGGGAGTCCTTAGAAGGATGGAGTAAGGAGGTCCAAGTC